GTCAAAAAGAGTCAAAATATTTTCAAAATTGTACAGTGTATAGGAAATGCTAATATGAACATTCAGTGAAATTTTCATGTATCTACAGTTATTCGTTTTTGAATTACAACAAAATAAGGAAATCGCTACATGAGAAATCGAGTGAATAACCAATATGTTGTAAAAAATTGAATTTCAAACGCTCATGATGAAAATTTAATTTGACTTTCCGGTAGAGATTTTTTTATTGATAAAGGTAGACAAACTTATGAGTTATATTGTATTACATTTTCAAATCTTAGATTTAAAAAGAAAAATTTTTACGAATTCTTAACTCAAAATAATTTGCTAATTTTCGTGATTTTTCCATATTTTGTCAATTTTTGAACTTTAAATGCTTAAAAAAAAAGATGTAACTAAAGATTTTTAATATTTTTCATCTGCCTTTTAAACAATATACTAGGAGCCTTCTATTAAATTTTCAAGCTTTCGAAACCAACAAATACAATTTTATTGATATTTTTAGAAAAAAAACTAAAAAAAAATGGAAAATGAAAATGTCAGTTCAAAACAAATCATATTTTAAAAATTTTATCGTGTATATAGAAAATGCAAATATAAACAACCAGTGAAAATTTCATGTGTATACGTTCATTTGTTTTAGAGTTACACCATAAACCAAAATCGATTTTTTGGGAAACAGATTTTGCGTAAAAATTCCCGTTATTCCTTAATTTTTATGTGTTCAATCCCGGCGCTTGTGAAAACTATTGAGAATTTTAAAATTTGACCTCCTGAATGCACCAACTAGATTCACTTTCCAATCGAACAAGACACTTAAGTTGAAAATCGAAGCATTATTTCGACTACTTATCGTGTACACACACAAAAATAAAAAAATTAAAATAAAAAAAATACACATACCATTGTAAAATTATTACATTCATCGTTCCACTCAGAATCTAAAATGCAATTTACGGACGTGAAATAGGTACCTACTACCTACTATTACACCATACACGCCTGCCACAAGTTTAAGTTCTTGCAAAGGTCTGATTTAAAAAATGTACAAAGGAGTTTGAATCATGAACAAGATTACTTTGCATTGGTAGGAGCACTTCTTCAATTTTTCAAATTCTTGACGGGAATAAACATTTAAAATGTTATTCCTTTTTCAACTTTTTATATTAAAAACTATTAAAAATATTGAATAGGTACATCCTCCGACCGATGCAAAGTAAACTTCTTCATCAAATCAAAAATCTTTCCATCGACCCACTAGAAGCACCTTAATTGTTGTTAGTCACTGAGGTGGTTTATAAAATTGACAGGGTTAACAGGGGCCTTATTTAATAGTTTATAAAAATGCATTGACAGTTACGACTTAAGCATAGGCGAAAATAACATATTCGAGATTTGGATGGAAAGCCCTAAAGCCACTCCACTATTTAGGCCAATGCTTATAAGGTACCTAAGTCTTATAAACAAACAATTTGTTGTTAATTACGAAATAATATTTAAGTTGGGGGACAGAGCGGCCGAGAAGTCTAAGACGCTGGCTCGATACACCTCGGTCATGGGAGGCATTTTCCTTCGGGCAGTCAAGTCACGGTGTCCGGAGAACAAGTGCCGCTATCCCCCACCCGAGCATGGCAGATACCTACAGGTGCTCAATCAAAAATTCTGCCCAACAAACACACACGTGTTCCTCCCCCTACCAACATAAAATCCTACAAAACCAAAACAGCTAATGGCCAGTCGCCGGGCATAAGAACAAAAAAAAAAAAAAAAACATGTAGTTTTTTTTAAATTATTTGTTTTTAAAGAGCAATGTTTGATTTACATAGGTATTCAATGATTCTTAATTGTTAACATATTAAAACTATTTATCTAAGTATATTATGCTAGAGTAGAAACTTTGAAGTAACAGATTTTTAGTAATTTATTTAAAGATCGCTCAACAAAATTAAAAAAAAACCTTAAACTTAAAAATGTATGACTGACAAGAAATAGTAACATTTTAAAATAATGTTAACAAGATGCTTAAAAATTCTCCTGTGGAAAAACCTAAAATTAAGTAAACTTTATTTCGGAATTCGTACTTACCTTAATTGGGTTAATTTAACTCTTGATATTATTATGTTAATTTTCAATCTTAAAACTATGATTACACTTCGTCCTTGATAGATTAGCAGATACTAGTCTACCGTAAACTATAAACATCAACTATTAGGAAGTTTCCATTCAATTCACGTAAACCACTTTTTTTTCTTTCTTGCTAGTAAACTAATAGTATTAAAAAATAAAATGTTCTACTCTGCACGGCACGGGAATACAGTATTATAGTATGAACTGTGAACCCTGAAGAACACCACACATCCATTTTTAGGGGGTTGGGTATAGATAATTTGAATTAAATTTTGCAATGTAATATCTTAATAATTCAAAGAAGTTACAAAACTACAACAATTGAGGAGTAAATACAAGATTATTAGCTTTGATATGACTAAATAACATTAATTTTATTTTAAAATTTAAAATTTATAAAAATAACAGATTTTGAACGATTTATTTTTATTCATCTTAATAACTGATATAAAAAAAAATAAAAAAAGGAACAAAGCAAAAAAATTAATGTGATTGATAGTTTATGGCATGAATAATGGTACCATACACTACATTCTAGTAGACTCCAGGGATAGTAAATGTTCCCAAATAGGCTATAGTAGAGAAAGCACTCTTTATTGTTAACCTAAGGTAAAAAGATTTTTATTTCAATCTAAGTTGTAACTTGTAGGTCTAATACAGGTCATATTGGATGACTGTGCCAACTATTGATAAACTCTTAAGAGTAATATTCAATAAAATGTATTTTTATGTAAAATTGAAAGATAAATGGATAAAATAATTTAGGGAAATATTTTCTCTAAATAAAGTTACATAAAAAAGTTTACACCAGTAATTTTGCTGTTTTCATAAATTAAGTTTTAATCTAATCAGATGAAAAGAATCTGAGATGAGATATAATACTCAAAAGTTACTTGGCGAGTATTAAAACTCTAATCATGATTTGTTTTTTGGTGAGTTATTCATTGTGTTTACCTAACTAGTTTTTAATTAACTATGCACATCATTGGACTAAATTAACTAAGTCAACCAAATTCAATTGGACATCACTAAAATGGAATCATTCTAAATTCATGATACATCAAACTTTTTCATCATAAATGATGAAAAATAAAAAATATAATGAGTAACTATTATCATATAGATTATAGTTCATTGTAACTATTTTTAAAGGAACAAAAATAAAGAGAGGATAATAATATTATAATAGAATTAGTTAAAATAATTGATCTATAATATCCTAAAATGTAGTTATTACAAATAATAATATTAATAAAAATAAAAATTTGTTAAAAAATTTGTCCAAGAGGACCGCCCTACATCTAAAAAAAAAACCAACATGAAATTCGTATTTATAAATTCTTATAATAGATTGGAACATTGGAACATAAGTTAGTACTATATACATAATACAAATTTATAAAATGACGATGTAACTTTGGATAATATGTTAATTAATTTCAGTAGGTAATGTGACTGTACATTAAGGTATTTCTTGTTTTTTAAAAATATAACTAGACATATGTATACTTTTTATTTTATAAAATAACATTATAATTAAGTTTTTATTTACACTAGACAAATACGACCCAAAATTGTATTTGAATAGAAACATTAAATTAGGATAAGCAATGCTTAAACCATTGATAAATGCAACTACATTAAATTGTACTTAATTGAAATTCAAGCTAAAATTGTTTGAAGATTACACTCTAGGAATAAAAAGTAAACACAAATTTGTAGAAGATCAGAGCACACTTTTTTAAAAAAAAGTACACTTTCTTTTTTATTATTTAATTTTTAAACACATGACCAAATTTAAGAATTCCGTAATATATTATTATGTATTTGTTCAAGATAATAACCTAATATAATATTTTATTGTACTAAGTACGGTTTATAGGATATTTTTAAGATACAAATATTTAAAAGATAGTATATCTTATTTTAATAGATGTTTTGAACAAAAAAACTTACATTTCTAAATCACATTATATAAAATGTTGTTGGTTGCTCTACATTTTGCTACCTGAAACATAGATTAATTATTGTTAGTCTTACAATTACCCATGACTTGTAATACAAACATGACAAAAATGTTAAGACCCTGACAGCCAGAAATAAATTAAGTTTGGAAAATGGTATGTTTTATTTTAAATAACAGTACTTACTCAATATGTTTAATTTTAGTAACAATTTTATTAGTTCTTATTGCACACAAATTGTCAAACTAATTTTTTTGTTTAATTCTTGGTGGTCATGTAATGAGCATAAGTAAATAATAATTACCAAATAATTTTAACAATTACATTTGTTGAATTTGATTTTTCAACTAATTCTGCAATAATTATAAGTAGTGCATTATCAAATGCTTACAACTGAAATGTTTTTAGGTATATTAAATTAATTATAACCACAAATTATTGTCTATTCATTAAGATTCATAAAATAATACAGTAATAATCTAACTTCAAATTTACTTTTATTAGAAAAATAATGTATAAATGTGTGTATTAAAAACAATTTTTTACTACATAATATAGTTTGGTATTAAATACAGAAAATGAAGTCGGGAATTTAAATACATAGTAATAAAAAATAAAGTAAATTTGTACGAATAATTGGATGTTAGATTTCACTTTATCCATAGATGTTTACAGGAAATACAAGTAATGCAATTGTACTATTGTCTAATAACAAAACAGCTAATAAGAAATCGTTTATGTTTTTTTTTAAGTTCAAATGATTTTAATATATTGATGACAAACACAATGTAGATAAATATAAATAAATATACACATTATAAGGTAAAATGAACTATATTGTTTACCCTGGCATCAATAATTGATTTATACGTTGGTACCATGTGTGTAGAGCAACTGGCAAATTTGTTATTAGATATCCTCTTGACTCTTACGCACACAACGTGCAACCTTGCGTTTGAATTCTGGATAATTATCACGCCAATCTTTAGCTGCATCTACATTAGCTGGACTTTCATCATTTGGATCGGCCAACATTGAAATAACTGATATCAATATAGTTTCAACGGTATGCACTGGTAACCAACGTTCACTTGCTTTTTCATAACCCCACTTATCATCACCGGGTTCATGAAGTATTGATATACAAACATCACCACTTTTATCAACTAAAAATGAAAAAATATGAATATTTATGATATAAATTAAAATACATTTTTTAAATACAATAATATAAATACAATCTTTTTTCAGTTTAACAGTTGGCTCAGGTAACAAATATTTATATAAGTAATAACTAAGTGACAAAATTAATAAAATAATTTAAAAATAAGAAAATAGTTATAAACACAGCTCGTTACTCGAGTGATTTTAAGAACTTTATTCATTATCAAATTTAGTAAAAAGGACAAATACTACAACATCAACAATAGGGAATAATTGATATAGTATACTACTATATTATCAATAGTGCCTATATAAATAACTATTACAACCAATAAATTATAGAAAATAGATTATTCTGTTTTAACTTTATTTAATTTGCATTTTCTTATTCTAAACCCTTGAATAAATTATATGTTAATAAAAAAAATAAAAAAATAAAAAAATAAAATAAATTAAATAAATTATATTAACTATTAAGATAATTCTGCTGTAGAGGATTTTACAAAAATTTTTTTTACTTATTTTAAACTTAAATCTTTCAGTTAACTGTTACATAAAATATATTACTGTTCTAGAGTCAAAAAATAGTGTATACATAAAAAAAAAAGTGTAGTTCTTCATTTTATCTAAGAATACAACTATTTAAATAACATGGCTAAATGGACTTAATAAATCCTGCATATAACTCTTTTAATGCTTCAAAATCCATCTATTAATTCTAACCTATTATTTATGAAATTTTAATCTTTGGTGTAGGTTCTGAGCAAGGCTTGTAAAAATATATTGGTGATATTATTTTTTTCTGTTTATTTGTTTAAATGGTTCAATTTTCAAGTAGGTATATGGTCTATTGTCTATATCAGGGGTCTCCAAACTACGGCCCGCCAACAAGTTTTAACCGGCCCTGGCCCGCATATGTAAATATAGATAAAAAAATTATTTCAAAAATGTATTTATATTATATTATATTTATACCTATTTATTTTTATTTAAGTATATTGTAAAGTAAACAATATTTTATACAAAAATATAAAGTAAATTTATTATTTATATAGGTAGGTACCTATATGATCATAAAATTAAAAATTATATGTGTTAATAAACTTTTGGCCCGCTAAGAGCATTTGGTTTTTTTTGTGGCCCTTGAATAAAAAAGTTTGGAGACCCCTGGTCTATATCTATCAATGTGGAAATCTAAACAAGTACTTTTTAGTTGACCTTACACCATCAATCTTTAATTTGAAATGTTGATATCCATCTTAATGATATCAGAACATCCAGGTTAGTCTAGTATGTGATCTATTTATGGGAAAAGGGTAATTAATTCTTACAATATTTTAAATTGTATTTAATTTTACTTTAATCATGCAAGTATATTATCAGATTTTAGTTAATAATAATAATAACAATAATATTTAATAATGGCACTCAATTTTTACAACAAAAATACATTGTTATAACAGATAAAATGGGTGACATTTAAGGATATTTAGAAAATTGTCTTATTTTTCTTTTATGCCACTATTAATTGTTAATACTTTATTATTATTCATATTTTAACAGTTCATAGTTTATGATTAACCAGTGACAAGGTGATACATTTTATATAGTGTAGTAATAGTAAAAAAGTACCTGTAATTTTATTGATACTAACAAAAGGTCAATTTGAAACGTTCTCAATAATTATAAGAATGTAGTTTTTTTAAATCAAAACATTTTAATTGTAATCAAAATTAAGGTTTAAGAACAAGTGCAAGACAACTGAGCAGCTGTTTGAAAATATTAAGAAATCTCAAAAAAGATATTTTACTATCCAGCGCTTAAGTAAAATAAATTAGAAGAGGTCAGTTTTTTTAAAAAATAATTTAAACTTAAATATTATATGTCTCAATAGGGCACTAACAACATATTTAATATTTTAAGCTAATAGTTAGGTATCATTTTATAAGTGGTAGATATACAATAAAAATCTAATTTCTTAATGATTAATACACTTACTATTAGGGTGCCAAATTTCTGTAACAAATTTCATTTTTGGTGGCCTCAATGGATACTCCTTTGGAAAATTAACATGAGCCTTGAAAAATCCTCCTTCACTGTAAAAATAATAGTTATTATAAATATTATAACATATTTTAGGTGGATTATTTTATAGTATGTATAATAATTGATAAGGCTATTAAATCATCACATTGAAAGAACATTTATATATACTAATACAAATAAGAGGACATGTAATGAATAAAATTTACAAAAGAGTATAATCTTGTGCTTCCCAGCAATTCAGAGCAAACAAAGTTAGAGCATCTAAACATTCTAAACCCAGTTGTAAAATTACGTATTTTTGCTATCAGCATTCTAAAATTATAAATTGGACAATTTATCTTATCTTAGAAAATGCAATTATTTTAGTCTTTGTTTCAATCGGAAATTTACCTAGTTGACTAAAATCAAATATATAAAAATAATAGATATAGCAAATACTCAATGATTAGGCAACGTGTAGTAATTAGGCCAAATAAAAATGTCGATGTTGTAATAGACCATTGGTTGTTATTGAACAACAGTTAAGTAAAATACATGATAAAAAGATGGATGGCTACATTCAATAGGTACTTACTACAAGGTGTCTGGAGGTCCAATAATGAGCACTTCCCATTTGTAAATATCATTATCGTCTATAAGACCAGCAGAGAACCCTTCTACTGGGTTCTTGTGCAATTCTAAAAAACAAAATATCATTAATATACACAGTCAACTGATTTATCAAACTCCAAATTCCGGTCGATTGGCAAGAGCTAAGTAATGAGTCTAGTTGTACCGTTTTTGTCCTCAGCCCGCGAGAGTTGACCATCGGGTAGGGTGAGTTTGAAAACAATTAACGGGGAAAAACAAAGACAAAGTTATAATTAGGACACACGGAATCCTGAAGACACGTGAAAGTATTTTCGGATCTCCGTCGGGAGATCAGATGCCCTGCACTAGAACCACCGGCCATGGACATTAAAATACGGCAGCTTCGATCCGGACACCGGAGAACAAAAACGGACGGACAGCCGAGATACTTACCAGTCAGTTGTTTCTTTAATAATAGCGCCGACTGTGGTTCTGACATTAAAATTGATTTCGTCACCCAAAAGTGGTTTAGATTAAAAAAATGTTAGACTCTTGCGGGGACAGATGCCGAGTGCTGAGTACTGAGTGCTAAGCGTAGTATTTGTGCGAGATACCCGTACCCGTATTCCAGCGAATGGAAAATAAAGGAACACAGAAGAAAGAATAATAATAATAATAATAATAGAAACTGTATTATGTTATAATGTGTATCAGACAGCAGCACGGGCGCACGGCAGTGCGGCTTATTGGAAATAAATTATCGGAACGGGTCGACGGTCGTCGTGCGTCTGCGCCACTGTCGGTGTGACAGTGTGGCCGCGGATTACGGAACTAGACGGACGCGTTCTCTCGATAACCGGCGCCGTAGCTACGAATGGTACTCTGCCGGGAATACGATTTAAGATAGGACAGCAGCTGGACAAGTCGGCTTCACAGAGTTCACCAAAGTTGCACAGGCCCACGGCTATAGCTACTATATATTTGTGGACAGGCCCCGATTTTATATTATAGATACAAATATACAATAAGAAATGTCAAGTTGATGAGCAAAAGAATATTTGCCATTTGGAACAAGTGCAGTGCACTTTACCACCCCATGCAAATTTTTCGAAATTTTTTTTTGGAACTTATGTAGCTCATTGAGTTAAGAACGATGGTGCAATCAGAATTTGTCGCTCTCACTTGGTTTCGAAGTTATGGCCTTCCAAAGTTTTCAATTTTACGTCTTTACGCATGCGCGCAACACTACTCTATAATGCCGCGAGGAGGACTATTTTTGTTATTTTTTTGTACTTACGTATTCTAACCTGTTTAAAACGATAGTGCAATAATAATTTATCCCCCGATTTGCTATGAAACACCTCCCCAAGTGGGTCACAGGGTTAAGAAAATTGCATTTTTGTTGCACCGAGTCACCGAGCGGGTGACAATTAAAAACGAAAATATCCCCCGATTTGCTATGCCGCGGATTACGGAACTAGACGGACGCGTTCTCTCGATAACCGGCGAGGTACTGGTACTCTGCCAGCCGGCCGCTGGAAGCCGGGAACACGATTTAAGATAGGACTAGGACAGCTGGACAAGTCGGCTTCACAGAGTTCACCACAGTTGCACAGACCCACGGCTATAGGTACTATATGTATATCTGTGGACAGGCTCCGATTTTATATTATAGATACAATAAGAAATGTCAAGTTGATGAGCAAAAAAACTATTTACCATTTATATTTTATACATTCAACTGTTGTAATTTTTATTACCTAGCTACATATATTAGTCAGTAGATTGCGCAGGGGAGGATGATATATCCCCCATGGACCTTTTTTTTTAGTCTTCAAACATGATGCCAAAAAGACAACATGTTCTTGAAAAAAAACATAGTGAAAATATTGTCTTTGTCGAATATTAAGCTATTAAAAATGATGTGTCCTACATGTTGGGTCGAACGGCACGATTCAATTTTAGTACTAATTGAAGTTTTTTGATTCCATTTTAGAAGCACTGGAAGAAATTAGTCAATCGGTAGATTTAGAAATTTCATCTAAAGCTTATATACCTACTATTAATTGCTATGCAAGAGCCAAACTTTGTAATAACTACTAATATTGTTGTTAAAGTATTTTCAATGAGTATGCCACTTAGCCGTCAGTTACAAACTGAAAATATTGATTTGATTTTGGCCCTGTAATTGGCAAACGATTTAAGAACAGTTTTCCAAAGTCTAAGGAGAGACTCATCCAATGAGTTCAAGAAAATTGAAGAGTTTAGTAAGACTAAAAATTTGGATATTGATTTTTATAAGCTAACCAGAATACAAAAAAGATCAATAAATGGAAATATTACAGGAGAAGACTATTACAGATCCAATGTGTATATACCATTCTTGGACAATTTTTTAACACAACTAGAGGGTAGATTTTTACAACATCGTGAATTGTTACAATGTTTTCGCTGTCTTCTTCCGGGATATATAATTCATTCAGACTTCAAACTTCTGATTAAAACATACAAAGATGATTTAGACTGCAGTAAATCACTATTGCATTTTTGCATAAATAAATTGAAATAAGGCCGTTTAGCTCGATTTTTTGGATTTTTTTTTTTTGGAAACCTATATATTACAACGAGTTGAGTACCTACAAAGGTTCAATCATAATTTGTTGGTAGGGCTTAGTTCCAAATTACCTTTTAATATCTCTACAATTTTAAGTACCTATTTTACATTTTTATGTCTACGAAGATTATTCTACGAATTACTCGAAAAAGTAAATTTTAATACTTTATTAAATAGTAAATGAATTTCATTTATACGTGTATCTTTTTTTTTTTTTTTTTAATTGATCTTTTAAAGCCCGGCGACTATGGCCATTAGCTGATTGTAGGGGTTTTTATTGTAAGTAGTAGGGTTTGCAGTTGTAGGGTTATTACACGTCACACGTGTGATACGTGTATCTATACTTAGGTATGCATTGTGCAGATTAAAGATCACAGTGGTTGGACTAAGAAGTTTTTATTGTATAAACCAAACACTTTTTTTTTTGTGGGTGGTGCGGGAGGGTAAATGTTTCAATCCCCCCCCCCACGCACAAACATGACCAAATTACGCCACTGTTAAACATCTATAAAATAACTATAAACTTCTTTATAATCTTGATACAGTTGAACAGTTCTGAACCCAGTGGCGCCGATCTATATTTCATGTTTTGGAGAAAAAATTCTGGTGTTAGGGTTACCTACTTCAAAAAAAGGTTAAGCTACTCTCGACTAGTGCATGAATATAGGTGACCTGCCATACTCATACTATTTTGCCTATTGGCTATTCAGTATTCTTTACACTCACGATTATTGTTAAATTATGATGATGTTTAAATATTAAATACCACTAATAAGTAATAACTGATCACTTATTATCACCCACCCACATACATGACCCAACCATAAATAGTTCTGGGGAATTTTCCCCGGTTGATACCTGCAGTGTTCGGCACAACCGAGTTCTGCAATCTGCCCTACTGCATGGGAAGCGAAGCTAAACTGAGATTACGAACCCTATACGCTTATTCATCCAAATGTTGTAATTCATAGGGTTTGTAATCATTTTTAAACGAGTATTAAAATTTATAAATATTATCGCCTTAAGCGTGTGCATAGATGCTGCAATTGGTACTTTGTGGTACCGGCAAATGTATTTTAGATCTATTAATAAGCCAGTATATAATTAATAATAATAATAATAATTAATAATAATTTATTAGCCAACAAATATTACAAATATAAAGCAGTTGAATGGCCTATCTCTACACTAAGGATTACGAATGATGAGAGAATACTACTTAATAAAAACATTAAAAACTACATATTATCATAGTGATCGAATTGGAGGGGACGGAGCTTCCCTACTATTTTTATTTACTTGGACGGGGGGACGGTGCAAACTAATGCTCAAATAATTTTATTTAAATATGGATTTCAATTGATGTAAATTATATAACGAGTTCTACTATTTTTCATATCAGATATTGAATAAACAGGTATATTTTTTTTCTACCGTATCAATGTAAAATGTAGTCGATGTAGATATTACTATCAAAATATAATATACCTATTTGGAATTCAAAATGTGTTGCTGAAAAGTGGTATTCAAAATGTATGTAAGGTAGGAACGTGAGGGGAGGCAAAGCCCCGACGGGTCTGTGTTGAATAATTGCACCCTTGGAACGCAGTTTTTAGATCGTTGGCTTGAGCTCCTCCACTTATTTTTTTCCAATTCGAGCACTGCGTATTATAAACATTTAGCTGTTGTTAAAAAACTGAGTAATACATAATGGATACCGAGTAACAAATCGTAGGTAACCTATTTTACATTTGAATTCAATTTACAGTATTTGGGTAAAGTAGAACCAAATAAACGATTAAAGTTTAAAAAGAGAATGTGAAAATATTCATCGGTTACTGGTTACCTATAGCCTATATAGGTTATAATTATAAATAATCTATGGCAAATGACAATCGTCCGAGACGAACAACGGCTCCATTATGTATACTCACATTTCGTTTCATTCTGATTTCTGGCTATTAAGCTATCTATTTTCACAAATGTCATTACTTATTAATCTCAATACTTCCATCTGCAGATTGAAATTTTGGATCGGAGATGAAGACGAAGGCTGCAGAGATGCGCCGCTCTGACACTTAACTGCAATATTATACACTCGTAAGTCGTAATGTAGGTAATAGCCAATAGGTTAGGTTAGGTACGTGTTTTTGCATTTTCTATACACGATAAAATTTTCAAAATATTTTGATTTGTTTTGAACTGTTTACGGATATTTTCATTTTCTAATTCTATTCGTTTTTTTTTCAATGAGTGTCAATAACATTTTAATTGTTATTTAATTTGAAAAAATTTTTAACTCTAGTCACAATTTTTTTTTATAAGCATTTAAAGTTCAAATCTTGAAAAAATACGTAAGTCACGAAAATGTGCAAATTATTTTGAGTTTGAAATTCCTAAAAATGTTTCTTTTTAAATCTAAGATTTTAAATTGTAATACAAGATTCCTTAAAAGTTTGTCGACCGTAAACTGCTCAAAACCAGTCAAAATATTTTCAATGATCATTTTGAATTTTGAATTTTTATAGTTTTTTTTTTCTATAAATGTCAATAATATTTTATTTGTGAGGTCAAAAAGCTTGAAAATTCTTGGATCCTTGGATCCTGATAAATTGTTACTTTGGCAGTTGAAAATTATCAAAAATGCGTATGCACAATTTTTTTTAATAAGCATTTAAAGTTCGAATTTTGACAAAATGTATCAAAATCATATACTTAATAATTATTTTTTGCATTCGTGTAGCAGGCGCAGGTTTACCTCGGTAGTGTGATCTGCGAATTCAGGACGAATGATTTACGTATACAAATTAGAAATATATATTTTTTTAATCCGTCATCATACAAATGTTAATAGTATAAAAACACATTATATTTAATTTTCATCAAATATAAAAAAATAAAAATAAATAGCCAAATATAAAAAAAATTTCAAGTAGGTACAGTACCTGAACATTTTTGGTATTAATTAAACATTTTAAAAAGTATGTTGAGGATCAATCAGATGACGATGTAAAAGTTCTGATGTAATTGCATGTATTTTTCGATGTATTTTCATTTTAAGATGTGACCGAAATTCACCGAATGCATTCTATTGTCTGGGTGTTGGCTACTTGGTCTTGGTGTTGGCTCCTCCCGTTAGCGCTACTTAGAGGGTTGACAAAATGTTTAGAATGGCTTACAGTCAAGTGATAATAACCTTTATTTTGTAAAACTTTATAGGGTTTCCCATTCATCTGAAATGATTGTTGTTCCTGGAAGTATTACTTTTTAAATTATTGGAATACTGAATAAGTGTAGCTCTATGTCGACGTTCATCGTTCAATTGCAAAAAAAAAAAACGTTTTTCAAGAATATACCATCATGCTCCAACACATTCCAAAAACCCAAGGTCTTTCTATTTGTTTGCCATAATTTCTTTTCCTGTTATTAGGAGGAATATTTATTATTTTCAGAATCAGAATCTGAGTTTGAACATAATATTGTCGTTCGTTAATTTTGCACCTCTATGATCAGCCAGAAGAATCACTGCCTCTATTATACCTATTTCCTTTTCCCTCGTACTAATTGACTCGTCAATTTGAACACATTAATTTGCTAAATGCAATACATTCAATACTGATATTTCTGTTATTTGATATTTGACTTCATGACAAATAATATCTACGTATTATCGTTATTATTTTTTTTTTATCGTTGTCGCAACATAATGAAACCACTGCGGGACTGCGGTACGTTTGATAATCATTTATTAATAATATTGTATAGATCAGTGTTTCTCAACCCGGGGGTCGCGACCCCTTTGAGGGTCGCCAACTTATTATTTAGGGTCGCAATCGAATGATTTAAATCTTACGAGTATGTAAAAAATATATATGTAAGGGTCGTTAAAAAATTGAAATTCAAAAATGGGGGTCGCCACAGTAAAAAGGTTGAGAAACACTGGTATAGATCACAAACTGGCAACTGAGAGATAGGTTGCGCCTGAGTTTGGAAGAATTAGCCGGTGTTTGAAAAACACCGTTACTGGGGGACACCACGTAGAGGTTTCTTCCTTGCCCCCCAACTGGCAACTACACCTAGTGCTAGTATAATACAATAGATTTTAATGATACAATTTTTTTTCCCTTGAATGTCAATAAAATTTTATTTATTAGGTAAAAAACCTTAAAAATTTAATACAAGGCTCCTACTATAATGTCCCAAGCCAGCGAGTGACAACGTGGGCATCACTGAAGCCCCTCAAAAAAGGGGGTGTCCCGTAAAGTAGGAAATGGTACAAGCGATGTGGATAAACATATAACGGAAAAGATAATATAATTATTATAAAATCCATAAACTTTATACTAAGCTACTGCTAACTGCTAAAAACTACCATGAAGATTGAAGACCAGAATAAAAGGAGGCCAACACCAAACTCGTGAGGCCTCCCGCATAAAAAAATGAATTTCGGAATAAAAAACCAAGGGAAAAAATCCCCAGAAAAGATCTCCAGACTATACCAATATCACTCACAACCACATGCAAATGGTCGAACAAATATTTTTTAAACGTTAATATTAGTATTTATAATTACCACTTTATCAATATTTAAATACAAATACGTTTATTATATTATACTATATTATATCATTCAACAAATTAATATATAAAATATTATAAATCATTTTCTAAAATTTTAAACTACAATATTATTATAATTTGCAAATTTTTGTATTTAAATTGAATTACCCATGATATATTATCGTTATTTAAAACAAAATATTATTTATAGTACCATTAATATTCTATTACCACTATACAGTGTGTAAACGGTAATCGAGAACACTCAATATCTTTGCGTAGAGACCTGCTATTTGAATTCCGTTTTTTTAGCAGTTGTTATGACATAAAAATACACATTTTTATGGTCTTTGAATTTTTTTTACTTAATTAGTCACGCGCATGCGCATGTCAACTTTTTTTTTTTAAAGGCAACCCCCTGCTTTAACCACTACTTATTTTTTGCCTATTTTTTTAATGAATTTTGGTAGTTGAATCAACTTTCTAAGTCCAAAATTGACCAAGTTACAGCCAATCAAAAAAAAGAAAAATTAGAAAAAAAAATGCGCTCGATTTTCAGCTTTTTGATTGTAACTCTGAAAATAATTATTTTAGGAATGTTAAACATTGACATTTTTGTAACTATTTATTACGGTGATATTCCTACGTTATTTTAACTTCAATTACTGAATAATTTTCTCGCGCTGAATCATGTTTTGTTCACGGCAGAGAACAGTTTGAACAATTTATTCGTTAGATTTTTTTTTTTTTAGATTTTTATTAACTAAATAAATTGGAAACTTAAATAAGAATTGAATTTGTTATAGATTAATAATTATTAATACGTTCTAATAGATCCATTAAATGTAAAGAAATAAACAACATACTAATTTACGTTTTTTCTGCTATAATAAGTTATATGATTTATTACACAAATTAAAGAGAAAATTATTCAGTAGGTAATTGAAGTTAAAATAACTTATTTAATATCACCGTAATAAATAGTTACAAAAATGTCAATGTTTAACAATCCTAAAATAATTATTTTCAGAGTTAAAATCAAAAAGCTGAAAATCGAGCGCATTCTTTTTTCTAATTTTTCTTTTTTTTGATTGGCTGTAACTTGGTCAATTTTGGACTTAGAAAGTTGATTCAACTACCAAAATTCATTAAAAAAATAGGCAAAAAATAAGTAGTGGTTAAAGCAGGGGGTTGCCATTTAAAAAAAAAAAGTTGACATGCGCATGCGCGTGACTAATTAAGTAAAAAAAATTCAAAGACCATAAAAATGTGTATTTTTATGTCATAACAACTGCTAAAAAAACGGAATTCAAATAGCAGGTCTCTACGCAAAGATATTGAGTGTTCTCGATTACCGTTTACACACTGTATATAATTTTTTTTGAATGATATAATATAGTATAATATAATATAAAATATACGTGTTTGTAATTAAATATTAATAATGTGGTAATTATAGATACTAATTAGAGTTTAAAAAATATTTGTTCTACCATTTGTATAATTGTATGTGGTTGTGAGTAATATTGTAGTCTAGGGATTTTTATTCAGAATACCTGAAAAAAAACGTACAGAAATGAGTCGCTGGCACAGACTGCGTAGGTACCTAGGGGCTAGGGTTGCTACTTTAACCCGAGTAGTGTAGGAATTATTCATGTTTTTTGGAAAATATATGCATCATTTTGAACCATGACCTTTTTAAGATTTTATAGCTTGTATGATTATGCATTTATACTGCATGTGCATATGTGTGTATATTCATTATTTAATAATATTATTTTTGTTTAGATAATTGAATTATACAATCCGTTAACACTATATATATCCAGTTATTTTATACCTATACATCTTTGTTCACAGCAAGTATGAAGTCTGAGCCCGGTGGTACTATTAGATACACCACTCGCAGCCCACAGGTGTTTTCTCGAACGATCGTTTTATACCGATATAATATTATATTGTATCGTTAAGCTCAAATTTGTTTCCGAAGAACAACATGTTTATGAAATATACACTCATGCACATCATATAAGCTATAAAATCTAAAGAGGGTCATGGTTCAAAATAATTCATATATTTTGAATTTTCCAAAAAACAAGAATAACCCCTATACTACGCGGGTTAAAGTAGCAACCTTAGCGTACGCAGCGCAGCCTGTGGCTGTTTAATCGTGTGATTCATTTCGGGACGTTATCAGAAGTGGAGTAAGAATTCTGTGATAATATATTATACATCGTGCTTCATGGATAACACAAAGCCGAAAGATAAGTGATAACAGAACCATTTAAAATTTCGCCTAAATAATTTTATAATTTTAAAACCTGGATCCAGCCTCTTGCGGTCCAGACAAGAAGTACGGATAAGTAAGTATTATGTTTAATTATGCTTATAATATCTGATTAATGTATTATTGTCTTAGATGAGTTATATATAATAAGTATTATCGTTTACAGGGTGTTTACTGTAAAAATAAAATGTATTTTGGACTTAATTTTGGTAGACAAGCCATTTTGAAAAAGGCCAATGTGTGGATACGATGCATGTGCAATGTTTCAAAGAACAATGACACGAAACAATTGGAATACATCCGAAACATTGGCATATCAGCACATATAGATTCTGGCAAAACTACATTGACGGAAAGAATTTTGTATTATACAGGTAAAATATCCAAAATGCATGAAGTGAAAGGTAAAGACAATGTGGGAGCGACTATGGATTCAATGGAATTGGAAAGGCAGAGGGGCATAACTATTCAATCTGCAGCTACTTATACAATTTGGAAAAATTACAATATCAACATTATCGACACACCAGGTCATGTTGATTTTACAGTTGAAGTAGAAAGAGCACTAAGAGTTCTAGACGGTGCAGTTTTAGTGTTATGTGCAGTAGGGGGTGTACAAAGTCAAACATTAACAGTTAATAGACAAATGAAACGTTATAATGTCCCTTGTATAGCTTTTATTAATAAATTAGATAGACTCGGGGCAAATCCTCACAAAGTTTTGGCTAATTTGAGAAGTAAACTTGGACATAACGCTGCATTTTTACAGCTACCAATTGAAGATGATGGTAACGTTAAAGGAATTGTCGACTTGATTCATTTGAGGTCAATTTATTTTAATGGTGATTTTGGGGATGACATAGAATATGGCGATATTCCGGAAAATATGAAAAAAATAGCCGAAGAAAAACGTCAAGAATTAATTGAGCATGTGTCCAATGTGGATGAAAAATTGGGAGAAATGTTTCTCGAAGAAAAAACTCCTACTGAACAAGAACTAATTGACGCGATACGGCGTTGCTGTATAAAAAGAACGTTTACACCTGTTCTTCTTGGAACAGCTTTGAAAAACAAAGGTGTTCAACCCTTGTTGGATGCCGTTTTATCATATCTACCAAATCCCGGAGAAGTAGAAAATGTGGCATTACAACCAACCGATGATATTAATAACCCAGCAAAAGTAATATTAGATCCTAGAAGGGATGGAACTCATCCATTCATCGCCTTAGCTTTTAAATTGGAAGCCGGAAGGTTTGGTCAGTTGACTTACATGAGATGTTACCAGGGTAAATTATCCAAAGGTGACACCATATACAATTTTAGAACGTCTAAAAAGGTACGTTTATCGAGATTGGTACGTTTACACGCTGATCAAATGGAAGAAGTCAATGAAGTATACGCTGGTGACATATTTGCACTTTTTGGTGTGGATTGTGCTAGTGGTGATACTTTTATTGTTGATAAAAAACTCAACATTTCGTTAGAATCTATTTTCGTACCGGATCCAGTTGTGTCCATGGCTATTTCACCTGTCAATACAAAAGATAGGGACAATTTCAGTAAAGCAGTAGCTCGATTTACTAAAGAAGATCCAACTTTCAAATTCCAATACGATGCAGACAACAAGGAAACTATAGTTTCTGGTATGGGTGAATTGCATTTGGAAATTTATGGCCAGAGAATGCAAAAAGAATACAATTGCCCAGTAACATTAGGTAAACCGAAAGTTGCGTTCCGAGAGACTTTGGTGTCTCCTTTTGAATTTGATTACTTCCATAAAAAGCAACACGGTGGTCAAGGGCAATACGCCAGAGTTATAGGTATTTTAGAGCCACTGCCACCAAATGAAAATACCAATTTAGATTTTGTCGACGAAACATCTGGACCCAATGTACCTAAGCAGTTCATTCCTGGAATAATAAAAGGTTTCAAAATGATGGCGGAAAAAGGATTATATTCCGGCCACAGAATATCGGGCGTACGTCTGAGGTTATTAGACGGAGCTCATCACATTGTGGATTCCAGTGAGTTGGCATTCATACTAGCTACCCAAGGTGCTATTAAACAAGCATATGAGGAAGCCGCTTGGCAAGTATTAGAACCAATCATGGAAGTTGAAGCAATTGTACCCCAAGAATTCCAAGGGTCTGTAATGGGGCAGTTTAATAAACGCAATGGTATCATTAGTGGAAGCGAAGGGACTTCTGATTGGGTAACGATTTATGCTGAGGTGCCATTGAACTGCATGTTTGGATTTGCAGGAGAGTTAAGATCATTAACCCAGGGTAAAGGAGAATTCAGCATGGAATATGTTAGATACTCGCCAACAACGCCCGAAACTCAAGAAAAAGTTGTTATGAACTATTTAGAAAGTACAGGTCAACTACAGGCTTTCCTTAATGCAAAAAAGAATAATAAGTCATGAGAAATAAATATTTATAGCTACATTGACTGAACTGTTTTATGTTTTTTCTAGTACATCTTGTAAACATTTGTAAGATAACTGTTATAAAATAATGATTTTAACTATAAATTATTATTTTTATTTTTTTTTTATGTGCATTATAAACCAAAAAATATGTATTATTTTGTTAAAAATAATTATATAACAATACAAAAATGTATATAACTTGTACATCTTTTGATTTTCAAATTATATTTTATACCCTAAAGCTGTAAACTTTATGAAGTACATAAGGAATTAAATTGATTATGTCAAAATATATACTGATGGTGCCGTAAACAAAATCTTCGGGATGTAATTTCCACATTAATTTCTGTGAACAACAAGAATGTATACATTATTATTTTACAACAAAAATATAGTATTTTTGATAAATTTTTACTTGAGCATCATGTACAAGGAACATTGATAATAATAATGAACTGACACTCGAGAATATAAGTTCATACGTAGTACTGCCCAGTATAATTTGTACTAGTACACCGGACAAAAATATAGTAGAAATCAGCAGAATGCTAAAATATATACAACTCATTTATCAAGTAAATGCATATTATAAAGGACCGGATCAGTGGCGTCATTTGGAGTGGACATTTTTCCTTGCTCGGTTGTTTCCGTTTAACCATTATTATCTTTTATCAAGGCAAAAACATGCAATACAATGAGTATCGCTTATTAATGTGATCGCATTGGTTCATCAGGGCATTTTGATTCTATCGAGTAGTTTATTCCATAAAGCATCTTTTTTTCAATATAATATTTGGTTTGGGATTTTAATTTTTGATTTAAATAAACCAGTGTTTACATTAAGCGGAACTCACTGTATTATGAGAAAATATTAGGTATATTGTGTAGCTACTAAGAAATTGTTTTTAATGGTAAATTGGCAATTAATAATTAATAGTTTGAATATATTTATATATTGACGAATGCGGGGACGTGCATGAAAGTTGGTATGTATGTGTGTAGTGTGTGTTTTAAGAAGGAAAAGAAACATATTATGTATGTGTGTAGTGTGTGTTTTAAGAAGGAAAAGATGCATATTATGTATGTGAGGGTTATTTTTTTTTTAAGTTACCCATTAGGGCTAGTCAAAACTTTTGCCCCCTTCAATTGAAAACTGAAATGACACTACTGGACCGGATGTAATATTAAAACACCATTACCATACTAATAACTATCAAACTTAAAACACTCACCAATATTCAGTCAACGATAAGCCCACTCTCTTTGTCTTACTCAAATATAATGTTGTTGCTATCATTGAAACTAAGGTGAGTAATAATGTTTGTAGCAGTATAAATAAATCAAACGACGTGACTACAATTCCTACAGTACAAGCTTCTATAACAGTCTACATTTAAGGTTTTAAAATTATTGAAATTCTAAAATTACAGTTTATGTAATGTTATACAACATAATTGTATCTATGTCACACACAATAATAGTATTAAAAGGTTAGGTCTGGGAATGAAATTTAAAAATCTTGCATACTTACAAAAATGATTAAGATTATAAGGTTAGCAGGATAATGCTTGCGCTTCATGTGTAAAAAAATAAGTACAACCACATTTAATATTAATGTAATCGATAACATATATTCACTGAAACATAAAAATTTTAAATTATTAATAAAGGGATTACAGCAAGGATTGACACATTTAATTACATTTTAATAATATATTTTCTTTTCTTACAAGTTATAAATAAAAAAACGTATTTTTGGTGTAAATAAACAAAAAAATCCCATAAAGTTGAATGCAAACAATTGAAGTATCAATAATGAAAACACTTTTCTTAAAAACACTAAAACAAAAATAACAACATTAATATTGAAATACATTGAAATCGTAAACCTTGAACTACCTTGGCATACTTTTACATGTTGCTTCTCTGTATTTAATAAATGATATGAGCTATTTACTTTGTCGTCACCGTTGTTTGTAAAAACAACACCATAATAGTTGTCAAATTCTTTACCTATAAAAAAACCGGATTTAAATAATTTAAAAAAAATTAATAAAGAAATCACATACATGCCATCATATATACTAACCTATCTTATATAATGTAGTAAATTATAAAATTATTTGCAGTGTCTTTAAGTATGAAATTCAATACATATTTAGATTACAAATCAATTGACTTTAGTTAAACTTTCAAACCAATTAAATTAGTTCTATTTTAACCATCATATGTACTATCCTAACCTATCTTATATAATGTAGTAAATTATAAAATCATTTACACTGTCTCGAATGTATGAAATTCAATACATATTTAGATTAGAAATCAATTGACTTTAGTTAAACTCCCAAACTAATTAAATTAGTTTTATTTTAATGAATTTTATAAAATTGATGTATCACAATAATGAGAATATAAATGTAAATGTATTTAACATAAATATCATTATTATTTTTTTTTGTTTTTCTATCGAAATTACATATTAATTACTGAATATGACAAAATTGACATAGTATTATACACGATACATGTTAGTTAATTTTTCAACTAAAATGTAAAACACAGTAGTTATCTTTAGGAGGTAGGTACTAGGTATTACATTTTACCCAATGATAAATATGGGGATATTCTAGAAATTCGCTAAACTAGACCGGTTTAAAATTATCCCACATTATCCCGCACCGAGATAATGAACCATGTAAACGATAGGTCCAAACATCCTGGTGCATTATTTTTCACACAGGTTTAATCTAGCAAATTTGTAGATTGTTACATTATTGAGACCAAAGGATATTATAAACTTATTATGTTAACTTTCCAAGTCGGAACTAGCATTACCTAGATAAACATTAAATTAATAAATTATATTGGAAATTAAATAATTTTACTAAATTTTAAGAAGTAATTTGGTTATCAATTATATTTACCCAAATAATTTACATCATCCATAATCACAGTTGATCAATGTATCACCTAAATTTACACAAGCAACGTGTTGAAAAATCTTTTGTCAAATATTGATCTTGAAACTGAGCAAAAAAAATTAAAAAAATTAAATTTATTATACATATTATACTAATTATCGGTACAAGTATTTACTACAAACTGTCTACAACATACTTTACCCACGGCAATAATTAGATAATGATATTGTTTCTAATTGCTCGTTATCAAAATTGACAAAATTATGTGTATTCATGATTATCTTGTAGATCTTCACTCATAAACGACATAAACACTTAGAAAACATTGTAAAACCTATAAACAAAAAATAAACATTTAATCTTAGAACATTATAGTATTAAATAACAACATAAAAACAAAAGAGCCATAATCTTCTTGCATTTTAGGTAGCAAATAGCAATGTTTCAACGAGCATCAGGATGGCCAAGATAGTTAACTGATGACATATAATTATAATTGTATTATTGTATTGTACAATTAAGCAAACTTTGTACTTAATAACATTTTAAAAACTTAAAGTAACTACTGAAAAAGGATTTAATAAAGACAGAATAGATTAAAATCCAAATAACAAATCACCCAATTTACTGAAATTATTCAGAATTTCTGATGGTTGGTATAAATCACAGCAAAGTGGATTTAAATAATTACACCTTGACTCACGGACTAAGACAGAAGACTAGACTAAAATATGATACTATGATGGACTACCTTGGTCTGCGGTAGGTATTAATTAATAATTACCACTTACCAGACAGCCCGAATCTTATAATATCTTATTTGTACTAAACTGTGAAAACAAAGGTTTATATTATAACATAATATTTACAATATAACTAGAAAAGTAGAAAACTATAAAAAATATTATATTGTGTCCTGTGTAAAACTAATGGCAAATTGGCAATACAGATTTTATTTATTTATTAGTCCGAATCGTCCAAATTAATTACAATTAAATTTACTAATAAGCTATAAGTAATAACTATTAAGTAACACATTAACACCGGGACTCATAATTTCGTAAAAAATGTTTTAACACGAACTAAGATATAGTCGTTAGGTTAGGTTAATTCGTGGTTTTTAACTTTTTAAGGTATATATTATATTAAATATTTAAATAACAGAACGACAAAATATAGGGTGCGTTCGACATGACGACATGGGCGCTTATTTACCATAGATAAGTATATATATTATTATTATTTACTGTCTGTGAGTTCATAATTATTGTTAACACTTCGAACCGCTCGTCTAGACATACGCGCTCACGGCCCACAGCCCACAGGTAGGCCTCTAGACCGTCGAATCCTGTGTGTCTAAGGTCCATCTCATATACTCTATGGTCTTATCACGGCCCACGGGACCCAACTATTGAACTCCCAGATTTCTATACATAGATTACCATAGATAATATATAGAGGATAGGCCATTCAACAAATATTTGCGTGTCCAGAGAGCACCCAAGAAACCAGGGTGGTAGTATGATGGTCCAATGTGGTTCAACGGTTATCACTTTTCGTTTATCAATCATTTAAATTTCGCGTCTTTTTAAATCATAGATAATATATATTATCTATGTTTTAAATTGTCATTTTGAATATTCAAACTTCTTGCCTGTTATTATGAATTTTACTATTTAAAATATACGTAAATATTGCACCTATTACTTACCATGATTTAAACAAAAATGTATGTTCATAATTTTTTGACGATCGGTACGTGTCGTAACATACTGTATTATATATAGTAGTAATAATTTAATGACAATACCTTTTGCGATCATACCATTTATTATAAATTGTACTGTACCTGCTACAAAAGTTAATAAAATTGAATAGTGTACTCACTACTCAGTAAAATGTTTAATAATTCAAATTTTGTCATTTCGTACTCCTAATTCAAATACATTGACAAGATAACAGGATAACGTAACCATTGATAACTAGGTTACCATAACCAATGTTAGTCTGGGGCTCTTCCGGCACGCGAACCCATGGGTTGTAGGTATTGGAATAGCCTATCCTCTATATATTATCTATGTAGATTACCTACGTTTCCATACTACACTAGATAAGGAACTCCTATATTGTTCTATGGTTAAAAGTGAAGCTCAGCCACAGATATAAAATTTTATATCTGTGAGCTCAGCTGTGAACGGCCGCCATTCTGTCGGTTGGCAAAACATTTCATTTATTATTCAAAATGTATTAAGAATAATATTTTTTTTAATGGTCAAATAAAATAGTAAATGTAAAATTACTTTTATAACATTTTGGTTGAAGTATGGCTTTTGGGTCCACCAAAATTTTTTTTTAGAAATTTTACGATACAAAATAAATCATAATATCGTCTTATTTGTCATATGAAATACCTTGAAGCTTCAATTCACGACCGGAGTTCTCTATCTAGCATACTATCTACTATCTATATAGTAATATATAGAATTCTGTGATCAGGCGCTGACAGGCTGTTATGCTACAGCATCCCTTGCCCTTAAATATATTAAATATAATTTTGCCTAATAGGTATTATTAATTATTATTTAAAGACTAGACACCTAATGAACAGCAGATTGTTACCAACTTACGATTACTAGTAATCTATAATATTGTACAATTTTGATTGATAGTTATTTGTAACTTGGTACTTATTCACGTTTTTGACGCATATTCAATATTTTTTTAAAACAAAATAAAATATATTAATATTTTATACATTATCTACATGTATTAAATTTGCCCCAACAATTTTTGTTATTTGCCCTAAATTGTGAAGCATTCCGTGCCCTATTATACCATTCCCGGCCTGTCCGTGATTGAACTATCCCCATTTTATGCTTTAATGGTTGATACCATAGACCTATCAACTTTCTCACTGAATAAGCTGTTAACTTCGAGAATGTTATCATGGACGACAAAGGAAAAAATGTATTTAGCTTACTTACGTTCAATAGTGACATATGCCTGTGAGACGTGGTCGACAACCTAAGGAGATGAGGAGAAACTCCTTATCTTCGAGAGGAAGGTGCTGAGGAAATTATACGACCCTGCGAGAAATGAATTAACGGGAGATTATGAAAGGAGAAAAAATACCAACTTAGAATCACTTTATAATAAACCAAATGTTAAATGCTTTCTAAAATCTAAACGTATGGAATGGGCCGGTCATGTATGGCGAGCTGAGGGAAGCATAATTCAAAAAGTACTGAATAATAACCTTACTGGCAAGCGTCCCAGCGGAAGACCTCGCCAACGTTGGCGGGATAGATTAAATGCAGATATAAGAATGGTGGACGAAGCAGCAAGTTTCGAGACTGCCAAGTGCCAGTGATCGTGACAAGTGGAAAGGTTTAGTAGAAGCTGTGAAAGGCCTTAAGGTCCCATAAAGCAAAAAAAAAAAAATAGATCTATGGTCGAAACACGGATAAAAAGTTGAAAATATTGTTATCAATGTCGTGACTAGGGATGGCAACGATACATCGATGTTTTGGAAACATCGATGTTTTAAACTATAATAATCGATGTTTGGCATCGATGGTTAAGTTTCGATGTTTTGCATCGAGGTTTATGTTTACCGATGTTTTAATTTCGATGTTTGCCTTGTCTTCGATATTCTTCGATATTTCAAAAAATAAATATTTTTAAAATTGTTCAGTTCCTAACATAATATTTTATACTCTTTTTCACGAGAGAAAGGTAGCGGCGGCCGACCAAAACGGGTCCGCCGCCGCGCATCCCCCACCAACTATCAGTGGTAAGCGTGATCACGTGGTCGTTCACGCACCAATCGAATCATTTTACATGCGCGAAACGGTACCGTTCTCTCGTGAAATAGAGTATAGGTATAATTTATGATTGAATATAAACATGATTAGGAAAACATCTAGAAATTCGCTAGACCGGTTTAAAATTATCCGTGTGATATAAAACATGTAAACACATCCCGGTGCATTATTTTTCACACCGGTTTAATCTAGCGAATTTCTAGTAAGTCAGAATGACTGGACTTTGATCATAATTCATAATAATATTACTTATCCCAAGAGAAATCTGATTGATTGATGAAAATTTCTATAATACCTAATTATAGGAACAAACTAAAATGACACTAAAAATTTAGCTAGTTATATTTCTGATGAGCTTTTAAATGTAATGCATTTATGGAATATTCAAATCTAAAATTTTGGCTGTAGTGACGGATAATGATTCAACAATGCTGAAAGCAATCAAAGATTTTGTTGGGGAAAATAGACATTTACGATGCTTTGCTCACTCGATCAACTTGGTCGCCGAAGGATCAATAAAAAAAGTTGATGGTTTAATAGATTTAATTAGTAAAGTAAGAAACATTGTAAAGTTTATAAAAAGAAGTGTAAACTAATATTTATCTGGTGTCTGTACGTCTGTCCCAAGTGAAAGGCTTTTTTCTTGTGCTAGTACCACCATGTCACCATATCAAAAACAAGAAACCGATTATGTGGGAAATCGGCATCGAAATTAATTTTTTTAAACAATCTGGACGATCAATTTTGGCCATAAATGTATAATAATTAATAGGTACCTACCTACTTTTCTATATAATTTAAATTTAATTTTTTATGTGTTTTTTTTTTAAATTTTTCCAATAAATAAAATAAAGAGTTGCTTATGTATATTTAAATTTTAAATGTGTATAATTAATAATATTATTATAATATATAATAATTAATTTTATCCTATAAAAAGTATGTTTTTTTTTTTTTTTTTAAATATCGATGTTTTTCCAAATACATCGAGTTCTTGACTTCGATGTTTTTTTAAATCGTCGATATTGTCACCATCGATGTTTAGTAAAATATACATCGATACATCGAAACATCGATGTTCAAAAAAAAATTGCCATCCCTAGTCGTGACACTTTTTATCATGGATATAGATATCCGTGGTTTTTATCAATTCGTGCCACTAAACGTTTTCGGTTTATCCGTTATCGTGGCAATATTATCACTCAACTTATGAGAAGTGAGAATTTAGAAGGAACTAAGGAAGGTTGAAGGAGTAAGAACTTTCAACTTACGACAGAACTACTGAAGAGTGGAGACATCTTAATATCTTATATGGTCATATGAGAGTATAACGACTGGACAGTAGACGTTGAACTTTAACTTCGTACGACTGATCGATATCGTCTTATTTTTATTTAGTAGGTACTTTAATAAGTATCTGAAAACTTAACTGATTCATCATGTCGTCGAGTGATTGGAACGAAGTAAAATTGTTGGCTGCTGACTTCCAACGCATTCAGTTGACCACTTCGTCCCAGAGGTAATTTTTGTTACCGTGTACTCTTTGTTATGTGCATATACAACATAATATAATATGCTCACAATCTAATTTTTTTTTGTTATTTTTTCGTCTTCTAAGACTAGGGGAAAGAAATTGTGTAGAAATAGTTGCGAAATTGATCAGTACCAAGCTACTGGATGTAGTGTTCACAACTGATGGTAAAGAATATGTAACACCAGTACATTTGACCAAGGAATTAAAAGATGAAGCTTATGTCCAAGGAGGTGTGTATTATAGTATTCTAAGTAACAATAAATATTATGTACATTTGTGTAAGATGACTGCCTTGATAGCCTTCTTATGTGTGTTAGTTGACATAGTTGATTATTTAACAATGTAGAACAACCTAACAAAATATATAAGACTATATTAATAAATCTGTATGTATGTGATATTTATATAATTAAGTATTAACAAAAAAATGTATGTACACTTTTATTTAAGTCACTTGTCAGTTATCATCCAAGTTTTATTTTAATCCTTTAACTTCGGTCTTTAAAATTGATATTGTATTACCTGTAAAACTACGATACCAAAAAATATTAGGTACATATATAATTAGTAATCAGAGTGATGAGAATAAATTTTCTAGGTCGTATAAACATACTAGATGCGGCTAGAGCTTTAAAAGTTGATCCAGACGTTGCTTCAAACTTGTGTGAAAAATTAGCAAAGGATGAACCTGATGATTATTGTATTGTTCACGGTCAATTGATTGGATTGACTTATTTGGATCAGATTGCTGAGGACGTTCTTGACAAACTAGAACAAAATGGACACATAAATTCATTAAAAATATCTCAGCAATTTGATTTGCCTGTGGATATAATTGATTCGGTAAAACAACAATTTTTTTTATCTTCTTGAATTAATTGTAATAATAATAATAATAAATAATTTACAATTCAGATGCTGGAAAAACGCAATAAAAATTTGGCTTTTAATCTACACAAAAATAAAAATAATCCATACTTATATTACACCGATTCTTACTTTAATTCTATTAAAAGAATTGTTAGAGGAGCTCTTCTAGCTACTACTCGGCCAGTTTTATGTACAGCTATAATAAATCAATGTTCTCTTGATGAGAAAGAATTTTTTAGTAAGTACAATTATTTATCATCTTTTTTTTGCTGTATTCAATATTATTTGTTATGTTTATAACACAGTAATACTTAGATACCTTATGCCAGTGGTTCCAAATTGGTTGTCTGTGGACCCCTAAGGGTCCGCTTGTTGATGTTAGGGGGTCCGCGGTTGTGTAGTGCTGTAGGGATTTTTTATTTTTATTTTAATTTAGTGAAAATATTAAATGCATAGCTTTGAAATTCCGGTTAATTTTGGACTATTGAAACTCGATTTACCCTGAAAAAGGTAGATGGTTAATTTATTCAAATTGAAAAGTAAGTATTTATAAAAGAGGGGTCCCCGGACCAATTTATGTTTTAGCTAGGGGTCCGTGGCTTCATACTGATTGAGAACCACTGCCTTATGCTAACCCAACTCATGTTATCATGTACTAACAATTAGTAAAACAAATCTTCATTGTTATTCTCTTTAAGTTGTTTAATACTTAAAGGCAGATGGTCATTTCTATTGCATATGGTAACCTAATTAATATGATAAACAATTTTAGAAGAAAAAATGTATGTAATCATTTTTTTTAATTTGTATATTTCAGCTGTATTTGAGAGTTTGTTAGCAGAAAAAAAAGTACCTGGGATGTTAACAGACCGAATTGGAAATGCATGTACATATGTTCCAAACATACATACAAAAACTCTAAATAATTGGGTTATGAATTTCTACACCAACAATAACTATTTAGGTATATAATTATCTAAGTATTATAATGATGTTTGTGAATCTATTTCATTTGTAACCATTCTTTAGGAATGGCAAACAATTGCCACCCATAGTGATTTTATTCTAAATTTCAGTACGTTGGAATGAAAATATTTCTTTTTAGGTCTATTTAAAATCCCTTCAAGTGTTAAATAATATCCTTCCACTTGTTGGCAGTTGACCGAATACTAATGTTACTTGAGAATATTTGCAGATTATGAAGCAATGAATAGCGTTGGTATAACTGATCCTATTTCTTATATTTCACGTATGCAACTGGGAAAAGATTTAATTGCATTGACCACATGTTCTGTTGGTCCCAAAATATTAGATGATATTTCTGCTGCTATAGAGGAATGTATTTCAACCGGAACTTGGATTGATATTATGGTTTGTTTTATCTCCTCTATTTTTTTAAAATATTTTTTCATTTAAATATAAATGTATATAATTAATGTTTAGGATTTTGTGCCAGTAGTTTTTGACACAAAAGACGGAGTATTGGTTTTGGAATATTTGTTGAAAAAAAATAAAATATCAAAGTGTTTTCAAATTTTTGATGATACTGCATTGGTAACCAATAAATTTATAGAAGTGCAATCTGAACGTATAATCAATTCATTAGATACTAAAGTAAAAAAGGTATTGTTAACTTTTTCTGTGGTCTATATAATATTTTTATAATAATTAATTATAAACATCATACTTAACTGTGGACATTATGTTAATGTTAATTTTAGATTATTGAGTCTGGAGAATATGCAAATGCCTTGATAAATTGGAAAATTCAACAAAAGCTTGCAGAGGATAAAAATCCAGAACTCAGCCGAAAAGAAGAACGTAAAAAAAAATCTGGTGGAAAACACGGTGGTGGAACACAGGTAATTAATTTTAATTTAACACGTTGAATGTGTACTGATGTCATTTGGCATCCAATATAAATTTAAAGTTAATGTTTTATTATTCCTTACTTTTTGGTTAGATGTTTTTAAATATGTATACATACGTCATTGAGAACAGTTTTTTTAATTATTTTTTTAATAGACTTGTTTTTACTTTTATCATACACACTGAGAGAAAACTGCAAAATACATACGCAGTCAACGTGTTAAGACTAAAAATATAATTTTTAAGCAGTTTTAATCAATCGTTAAATTTGCTTACATTAATTTGCTGCTATTATTTATATTTGATGCTCACTACAATAGAATTAAATAACAAGTCTATCTTATTTTAGGGACGAGAAACCAAGATAAAGGCTGTTAAAAAAAAATATGGACAAAAATCAAAACAACATGATTCTGATTCTGATGAACAGGAAAATAAAGTAGTTGCTAGTGAACAATTTATGATGGAAATTGTTAACGCCGATGAAATTAGAGAAAATTTAGAAAACGATGAAACATTTAAAGATGTTGATGAAGATAAGAATTCTTTAATAGAAAAAATTGTTTCATATCTCTACCCGTAATACATATATGTTAATATAGTTACCTAAATAAAAATACCTAAAAAAATTGTATATAACTCTTTGTTTTAGAATTTTGAATAAAGAAGCTCTGAGGAGATCACAAGAAATTTATGATCAAGTAATGGCAAACCGGATGGGTGATCGTCGTAAAGTACATCAGGACTTTCGAGACAAACTCTTATTACTTTTGTCTGATTTACATCAATATATTAAAGGTATTCAAAAATTTGATAGTACTGAAACTCAAGGACAGCTCACGTCATTCTTGTTAAAATCTATTGGTGGAGAGATTGTAGAAATGGTTAAATGCTATGTAGCACAGAATAAAGAACATGACTCAGAGGTAGTATATATTAATAACCAGTGGCGGACTGAACTTCAATTTTAAATGACGCATTTTCATAATTAAGTACTTACCACCACCACCACCACCATCCTATTTTTACATATAACAAAGTTTTGATGTAGATTAAATGTGATCAAAAGAGCCAAGAGGTCCGGCTTTACCATGTAATTCTGCGCCAGTCACGAGGTGGCACCACTCCCTTTGAAAAGTTGACCCAATTGCGTCAAAATTGAGCTCTTCAGCTCGCCACTGTTAATAACTCTAATAGTTACATTAATTTCTATGATAAGCAATTTTATTATTTCATATTATTTTTCAGTCAAAATCTAACCAATATGATAAACAAGTTGAAGATGCCATTGAAAAACTTCAAAAATCATTGACATCTAAACTGATTGATGATTTCCATGAAGCTATCGATGAGTTATTGTCTTCTGTAGATATAGTACAAAAAAAACACGATCGTAAAAAAGAAAGGTACTTATATAGTAGATATATACATAATACATTATTTATATTACCCTTTTTCTTAAAATTATAATCTACTCACATATACGTTTAGACATTTTTAAGTTTTTAACCACTTGTTGTTTGTTAGGGAACATTTACAAAATAATCGTCAACTTCTTTTGAAATCGCTATCGGACATTGAGGATGACAGTGCACAAGTACTTTTAATTGCTACACAAATACTTTTCCAATCTATTACACAGACAATGATTAAAGTCTCGGGGAAATTTGTATCTGTCCTGTTGGGATTTTTACAAAAACACATAAGTGATCAGGACTTTTCTGTTCTACAAAATTACCATGGTATGATTCTTAAAGTGCCCTTTATTGTACGGTGTTAACTAACCAAGAATATCATTCTGTATTTTTAAGATCTTGTTGTACAACTCTTGAAAGCCGAAGATCCTGAAGAAAAAAATAATATTAAATCAAAACTAGAAGAGACTACGGGCAATGTGAAAAATCTCGTTATCAATTTTAAAAAGTCTTAAGATTTTCGAAATTGTTTTTTGAATGTTATTTATAACAACCAGCCCTGAGATATTATTACTTATGGCATTGCTTATTAAATAAAATTATTATTGAAAATTGATAATATTCTATTATAACATAATGACATATTATGTCATGATATATAATAAATTGTATTATAATTATGTCAATATGTCATATTAAGTGTAATTTAATGGTGATAAGAATAAATTATCATTAAATGTGTTGGTTTAGCGTTAGAATTTAGAAGTACATATTTACAATAATTTTGTGTAATTTGTACGGGTCAAAATGTTGTTGAATGAATGATGTGGAATTCCACAATGTTTGTGCGGTTTTTTTATTGTTTTTGTATGTCACATTCACAGTCATGAGTACGTGACACAGCATAATCATAATCTATAAATAATTGCCTTACTTTTAAGTGTTTTAAGCTATGATGTCATTTGAAACAATATAGAATGTTTGCTGCGACCTTTCCTGAACTCATGTTTGGACTAAATAATATTAATCTATTAAAATGGCAATTCAGACAATTAGTGTACGATTCTCAAGATTTGACATTACTCTTAAAAAAAAAGAATAATTATTCTACAAGATAAAATAGACATTGAATTTAATATTAGAACAAATATACAAAATGTCATAACATAGTAATCTATTCTAAATCATGTGTTCAGAGAATACGATCGCAATCAGCTAGCACCACTTGATACTCTCTGAAGACATTATCATTGGAAATATTTATTCACGAGACACAAACGCTGCAAACAATCTTAATATACATAATTCAGTAGAAATTATATTTAGTTTTCGTTTTACTGGATAATTATGATACTTCATAGCATTACCTCGCTAGATAAATAAACAGAAAATATACTAAAATGACAAAAACATTAAACCAGTATCAATGCACAAACAAACTTGAATCAATCTCAAATAAAGTGTCATGAAAGTTAGATACGACACTTTACATCACGTCGACATCAGTTCTATAATACTAATGATAGAATTAATGATTTGATTAAATATCTATTGGCAATAATTATAAAAGAACAAAACCAAAAACTGTAATTTTTTGTTAAAGGCTATAGAACAATTATTTATCAATTAAAGCTGAACATATTATGCACAATGACCAATGTGACTCAAAAGCGGACAGAAAAAGGGTACAAAAACTATAATTTTTGTAGGTTTATTAAAATTTTATATTGACACCACGAAATTTTTCACACATAAAGAAAATCGCCCATTAACATAATAACGTGATAATGCCAATAAAAATGACTTAAAAAAAAAAAAAAAAACAGGTACAACTTATAATAAACATTTTTTTACAAAAAGAATAAAATAGAAATAAAATAATAATTACAAAAAATTGTATAATATTCATATATGTTAAATATTTTTATGATTATCTAAAGGGTTGTCGATGAACGTTGTTTTAAATTAATAAGATATTTCTACAATAATATTCTTAACTTTAGGCACCTACTACATCCATTGGAAAAAAATTTCATAATTTGACAGCAATGATATTTTCAATTCTCAAAAAAGATTTAGATCAATATTTGGCAATAAACTGATTACGAGATAATATGAAATAGAAACAATTTCTCATCGAGATATAATAATAATATATTAATATATGATAAAAATGCATTTTTGTAAATTATTAGACATCTTCACTTTCTAGTTTAATTTTTGAAAAATCAAATTCTTCTCCAGTGGCTCGTTTGTAAATATCCAAAACGTCCAAGCATGTTGTCTCGAAATGTGATGTAGCATCATACGACTTTGAAATAAATAACTTGCTATCCTTTCCATCGTCAATAGGTTCATAATAATCAGAAATGGATACAAACTTCTGTTTGATAGATCCCAACAAATCCAAACCAGGCTTGATCTCCAATTCTGGGTTACTAGTTTCAACTTTGGAAGAAACCATAGCAATAAACCATCCTTGTGCAGACACTTGATGGGTGTTGCTTACTAACGAAACATAGATGTCCGACTTACGGTTGACCTGGTTCTGTGGAATAATGATCTGAGTAGAAAGAGCGTCACGGGTGTTTGGTATAGGATGATTTAATAAACATATGCAACGGATTACTTGACCCGTTTTTTTTACTCTTTCTTTTATGTAGGACGGGTCACAGAAAACTTGTTTACACTTAGCAACAACGCCACCACTCTTAATGCCAACAACACTCGATCCTTCAAAAACGATTTCATCAACGGGAGTATTCAACATGTAAGTACCACCGTAAATAGCACTGAGACGAGCAAAACCTTGAGGTAGTTCTCCGAGCCCGTACAAAGGATACAGATACGGACTTTTTCCGTAACGAGCTAGAGAATCGCTGTACAACTTGATGCGTCTGATCAAATTGGCAGCGGGTTCGTTGACATAGTCGTCATTAAGATAGAGAGCCAGAGCGTGGCCGGTGAAGTCTTGGGTGTTCTTGTCCAGACCGAACTTGGTGTACAGCTGATAGGCGGACATGCGCTGCGGGTCGACATCCTTCCACGTCTTGGGGTCGTTCTCCTGGAAGTCTTGCACGAATATCAGGAAATTTCTGAACCGCCTCTTCTCGAATATTCCCATCAGATCCGACGACAGCGCTTCCTTCTGGTCGACCGGCACCTTGTAGATTTTGCCGCCCTTGTACACGTAGCTGCCCTCGACCGACTTGAACTCCAAGTAGCGCGTCACGCCCGTGTGTATGAGCAGCTTGACCAGCAGGCCGTTGGCCATGAGGAACTTGGGCACCAGGTCGACATTCCAGTCGCGGCCGCGCCCGTGCTCCTTCTCGTCCGGCTCCTTCACGCCGAACTTCTGGAACAGCTCCTGCAGCGGCGTGATGGACGCCGACTCACCGCCGTAGTACTTATTGCGATCGACGTGCAACACTTTCTTGCCGGAGACCGACAGCATACCGGACAGGATGCATTCCTTGAGACCGGTGCCCAGCACGATGCAGTCGTACTCTTCGTCCATCGTTACTTGTTAATTACGATCTGTGCCAACGACACGCCGCGTGTCCCCGACTGGACGCCGTGCCCGGTTGAAGCTCCGGTCGGACGAGCTCGGAACAAAATAACACGAAATCAAAAACGGTTGACGACCGCGAATTGTAACCGCGCTATTCGGATGGAGTTGCAAGTATAATACGTTATTGATTGTTAATTGTTATCGTTCCTCGTGCGCTTTTATATTTCAGACGCGAACAAAATGAGTTTGGCGAAGTTTTTGTTGTGGTAGAGAGGTGTTAGACACAATAAGGTGTACGTCTGTACACTACTATAGTAATAGTACTAGGTGTACACTATATTACTATACTATATAAATGACGTCGACGAAAATTCGTCAATCGGAAATATCAATAAAAAAATTGATAAAACGTTGGGAGCAAGTCAAGGTCACACTGTTTGGTACAGTGTACACAAAGAAAACACATATTATTATGGACTACAGATTCTCCACCGAGAGTACAATCACAATTCACAAGTAATCACAACTACAGTAAGTTACTAAAGTTGAATTCAAAGACTTATAATTATGTTTATATAATGTCTGTGGTTGAATTGAAAGTTCAACAACTACAAGCAGCTGCTGTACATTATTTATAGTACTGATTATAGACTACAGAGATTACCACCGCAGTATTAAAATATTATTATTTTGAAAATATAAAAATGTATGAATAATATTCCTCTTACTGTTGTTAGCCGGTATCGTTTTTATAGACATAAAAAAATACAAACTAAATTTAGGTTAATTTTGCTTATCATTACTAAAACAAATTGCTTAAACAATCACCGTCCCAAGGGGCATGTCCAATTAAACAAAAGAAAAATAAAAAAAAATTTCAAATTTACATAGTTTTGTATGCTTAATGCTCAATATTAGTATATTATGATCGACTTCAAGGAAACTTATAAGACTCGTTCAACTGTCTCTCATCAGACAAAACTTAATTTACTAGAAATAAGAAATAAGATATGTACTTAATTTAATTTAAACAAATACAAATCAAAAATAATGAAAATGTAATACTATAATATACAATTAACATACCTATTTTAATACCTAAATATAATATGTTACCTTCAAAGCTCAATAATTAGCTCATGTAAAGTCATGTTCATTTTTACTATAAAAATAGTAAATGAAATGAAAATCATGATCCTATAATAGAATTATTAATTTATTATTATAAATTTATAACTCAAAAATTAAAATTATCAATTAAGCTTATTGCTCAACTTTTGCAACAGATTCCCAAATAAAAAAGTTTTGTTAAAAAAAAAAAAAAATAAATAACTTAAATAAAAACCAATTTGTAAGTTTTGAACTTTTTTTAAAAATATTTTGTATTACCTATATTATAATATTTAAACAAACCATTTACTATTTTGTACATAATATGATGATTTTAGAATAATGCTCATCCCATTTCTACGTTCATTAATTATGCACATATACCTATTCAGATTCTGATTCTCGGAATTATTTTATTTCAAACACTAAAGAATTACTTCGATTTTTTTACAACATTTAGGGAGTATCGTGTATTCCTGTGGCGATACCAACTTTGGTTTTTAAAATGAGAGCCTACATGTTTTAATGCAAATTATGAATCAAATGATTTTTATAAAAATTGTAATTTGTTATGTACTTATTGAAAATTGAAATCGAAATTTAAACAAAAAGTTTCGTAGTTATATTCTATTTTAAATACTATAAAAATAATAGGACGTGATACCCGCATGTGTTTCCTCCGTCTTACAAGTGCGTAACATAAAGTAAACTTTCCAAAATGTCAAGATACAAAAATTTTCAAAAAAAATACCGTTTTTTAAATTATATTTTCAGTTTTTAATCATAATACAAGTATTCAATTTTTTTTTTCGAGTCGGTATTGAATTTAATACCGGTTTCCAATTTTTTTCGATTTCGGTTTTGATTTTGTTCTCGGTTTCGGTTTTATAACGGTTTATACCAGTTTCAAGCCCTGCACCATTAACTGAGAGAAAAAGTAAATTTTAAATTAGGGGGGTGGGACTTAAAAGCGTTTTGTGACAATGAATAAAAGGAAACTGAGAAAAAAAGGGACCTTAAAATGTGTGTACCTAGGGCGCCAAAATCGTAAATACGCCTCTGTAGGTAAGGTTACCTAACCTATTTCATTATATTAACTGAGCTCGTATCCATCTCGAAAGTATTTAAGAGACTATTATTCATATTCCTTAGTAGTTGAAGTAGAATAACCTAACCCAAAACTTTTTAGTCTAAATTTCAATTATAAATACGTAAACTTTTTTCAGAAAAATCTTCTGATTTACCATTTACAATTTTCATTACATGTAGGTTCTCATTTTAAAAATCAATTTTGGTATCGCCACAAGACACTCTTTATTCTTTAAAATATGTTCTGAAAAATCTAAATATCAGCTTCAATTACACTCAAAAATTCCAAAATCAAAATTTGAATAATATATTCCACATTTCCACGAGGGAATAATCAGTTTTCGCGACTGACGGCTTCGGCAAAGAGACTACGTGAGTGCTGGACGGCATTCCTCTCCAACCGTCCTCAACGACTCGTGACGAACCAATTCCCTTTGTTTCCAAGTTCTTATGCGAATTTTGAACATTGGCCTGGCCCACTGATTATTCTCTCGAGTCTCGATATATAGACTAGATAGACATGCATAATTTAAACATAAAACTGGATTGAGCGTGTTTAAAAAATCACCCTGTATAGCCACACAGGCTTAATTATTATGAATGTATTATATAATTTAAATTTAAAAAAAAAAAAAATTGTTTGATATGTGATTTCATTATTTTTATTCAGTCTGTGAGTATCAATATTATTATTAAGTTATGAGCTACGAAGCTTTTGATTTTGCATATAAGTTATACACTTATTAAGATATACGTTAAATGTTAATAATAATAATATTATCAAAGCTCACCAAGCTCAGCTTACACTATACACTATACAATGTGTTATACTTATAACTATAACTGATAATTGATGTACCTAGTGATATTATGTACCTAGTTACTATAGTTACTACTTATGTAGTAATGTAGTTATGTGTGACGCCAAGTTTTTGGCATTTGTTGGGTAGTGTAGGATACCTACTCGGATATCGGAATAAATGTTTATACCAAAATTGATTGTCAGGAAGTTTTAGAAATTATCCTTTTTCATTTTTCATCTATTAACTTACTTTCCAAATCATTATTTTATGCTTGCCTATTGAATAAAATTATGTTATAGTTTTTAACATTTTTTTCAGCACTTCACCCAACCGCTAATGGAAAATATTGACATAAACATTAAGGTAAGTTTTTATTTTGTCAGTTGCCACAATAAAAAACGCTCTTTTTTAAAACTGAATGCAATTTATTATTATAATATGGTCTATATTCTATTATTTCTTAATATCATCTTTCTATATTTAATAACCATTTTATTTGATTGTACATATTTGTAATATTGTTTTATATTATTTGTACATTGTATAGGTTAACCTTCTATAATTATATATGCTCTGTATACTCTTTGCTCATCGGGCGTCAGTGCGTCACGTGCATTGCGTTGTACCTACGTTTGAATGACGGAGACAAGTGAAAACTACACGTTATGATTGTGTAATATAAGTATATCTTATTAAAATCATTAACATATCAATATTATAATCTATGCATGATTACATATTTCGAAGGAGATAAAAAAAAAATAACAAATAATATGTTTCCAAACGGCAAACATCCAAATATAAAATTGTATATATTATATATAGAGGGTAAAAACTTATAATATAGCCATATACCTAGGTACCTACATATAATATATGAAAAATTTAACACAGCGATTTAATAATTTCGGTTTTGATTTATTATTAATAAAATCTAGTATAATTTGTACTTACTATATAATCAGAAGTAAGTTAGGTTGTATTTTAGTCTCAAAATAAGATAAACATAAAATATAGGTAACTGTGTATTTTAATAATAGAGACTATAAAAGCAGTAAATCCGGCCTCCTATATAGATCCGTTCCTGATAATAATTATGATCGTTCATCATAAACTATCATTGATTATTATAATCGTAATTAATTATTTATAATAAATATCATTCACTGGTTGTTCGGTCATCGTGATCAAATTTGGCCATGAATGTTGGATACTTGAGGATCTAATATCTATACAACCGATCCACGTTGCGTCGCAAGTATATACATCTAATATATCATATTATATCAGTCATCACTCTTCAGTCATCACCGTTGATCACCATCATGTAACATGTCATACTTTATGCCATACTAATTATAAGCATAGATTAAATATACTAATCTATAGTACTAATCTATAGTATATTTAATCTATGTACCATGAAGGAAGATAGTTATATCTTAGTTCATGGTTTATATCACAGATATATTATAGTGATCTACTGCTCGAGTCAGTAGTCACTACTCACTATAATCATGTAAATAATGTATTAATATATATATATATTATAAACACAGTGCTGGTTCCTTCGTTTTTTTCAATTACGTCGCAGCTGGTGGCAGGTGACCATCACGATGATGATGCGTGCATATTACAATATGTCATCGACGGCACAGTGCACAGCACAATTTTTTCTACATAAAAAAAATAAGATTATTTACATTATGTAAGTATATATTATAACCGCAGAGTATAACGCATACATCACGTGAAAATACATTTTCAAATAAAAGAACTTATAAAAGGATCTGTGGTTAGTCAGCTAGTGGACTATTCCTTTAAATTTTAATATAAAATAGGTATATTTTATATGCATATTATTTATTTACGGTACAATACTACAATTTACATTTGAAATTTAAATTCGTTAAATGCCCGTGACGAGTTTAGGTTCTTAACGTTTTCCATTTTTTAAGTTAATTTAGTCTTTAATGAAATATCGCCCGTTTAGGGTTATTATTG